CCCCAAAACCCCAAAACCCCAAAACCCCAGTTTTGAGTCTAGAAATTGGAATATTTAATAAAGTAAGTAAGATGACAACTTGATTTGGAAGAGGTATCAGAGAAGCAGAGATAGAAATCTTGGAAATGGGAAGGTACACTATCAAATTCCTGCTGAAGAAGTGTCATATCTCCATGGCCAACGCACTCAGAAGAGTTATGATCTCAGATGTTCCCACTATGGCGATAGACTTGATCTATGTGAATGAAAATACTAGTGTACTTCATGATGAATTTCTAGCCCACAGACTCGGACTCATTCCTTTTAAGAGTGAATGCATAGATGATTATGAGTTCTTCAGACAATGCTCATGTAAGCCATCTTGTCACAAGTGCAGTATTGAGTTTAACCTCAGAGAGATAGCTCTAGATGAAGTGAAGGACATTACCACAGACCATATCAATGCGATTAAGCCTGACTGTGTGATCAAACCCACCAAGTATATCAGTGACCAAGGCACTGAAGAAGATCCCATTCTGATAGCCAAGCTTGCCAAGAACCAGAAGATAGACATTCAATGTGTTGTGAGAAAGGGAACAGGGAGAGAGCATGCAAAATGGTCTCCAGTGTCAACAGTCAAAGTCCAGCAAGTCCCAATCATTGAAATCAGTGAAGATCTAAATGACATCCTTGACGATGATGAAAAGAAGGGACTTGTCAATTCTTGTCCAGCTGCAGTCTACAAGATGAACAATCAGAAGCAAACTATCGAAATAGAGGATCCTACTAATTGCATGCAGTGCCAAGAATGTTCAATCTACTGAGATAGCCTTAACAAGAAAGAGAACTTGCTAACTGTAGATGAAGATGAGAGCAACTTTATTTTCAATATTGAAAGCACAGGAGCGATCCCACCTGAAGAAATTGTTTCCAAGGCTATTACTATCCTTGCTGAAAAAACTAGTGAACTTGCTGTTGCTGCAGGACAGTGCAAAGATAGCGACTAAAATATCAGCAAGCTTTAATCACTTTCAATATTTAGTCAGTCTAAAGGGGTTTTGGGGTTTTGGGGTTTTGGGGG